TCAGTAAGTAGTGGTGTTCCATGGAACAGATCTGACAGATAGTTCTCCAAGTTATCAGGCTTAAACCTCACCAGCATCTCTATGTTTCTCTCCTGCCTCAGCGTCGACAAGTACTTTCCGTAAAACTCTCTGTATTCCGGTACAAGTTTCTTTGCTATGGAAACTTTAAGCTCGTCCCTTAGTTTCACATTTGGTATGACAAATGATGAGTGTTTCATGTAAGCTTCTTCGAATGCTGCGTGAAATCTCTTGAAATGTGTTTTAGCCTCCTCTGGTGATAGTGTGGTATAGGTTTTCTCTGGTAAAGATAGGAAAACGTTGGCCCACGCTGCGATCTCGTATTTTGCAGCGTAGCTTCTGAGTTTTGCGTCGTGCTTTGTGAGCCAATCGTCTCCGAGGAGGTTCCTGAGGTGAGTTGAACGAACGGTATCAACCACGAACTGAGTGTTGTTGACAAGGAAGAGGTAAGAGAGAGAAACATCCTTGTAACTCTCTGCTTTCATGTCTAGTTTGCAGAGTAAAACCAGGATGAGCCAAGCTAGATGGACCGAGATTGTGTGGTTGTTGTGTTCATCTTCTAAGATTGGAGCCGTGAAATAAGATTCTAGCAATCGGGTGTTTCTCTGAACCGGTTGCTCCGCGAGGATATCAGACAACACACGGCTGTATTCAGAAAGTGATGATATGAAACTCATCGTTGATCGAGTCAGCCTGTGAATCCCTCCGCCTGGTGTAAGTGCTTTCGAAGAATCCTTTTGTATTGTCGACTCAAATTCCGTGAGAATCGTGTGGATTGAATCCTTGAGTTTCTTCAGCGACGACAGCGCCAGATTTTTCACAACAGCTACTGAATCAAAGTGGAATATCAGTTCTATCTCTGGCCAAAGGTCAGAGATTGCTGCATAGAGATCCATCAGCCTGAAGATCCTCTCGGGCGATGACTTCTTCTCCTTATTGGCAACGAGTTCAGGGAACTTGAAAAGATTGATTCCTGCTTCGTTCGCTATCTCATAAAAGCAAGATTCTCTTATTGTACTCGAAGCAGAGAATACGTGATCACAAAGAAGTTTCTCTCCCCGTAAGAGGGTTATGACGCCAATCTTTGCAGCTTTGATCCAGTTCTTGATCATTGGCTCGAGCACGCCCCAATCCATTCTGTTAAACCGAGAGATCTTGCATTTTTCAATCCCAAGTAAGTGTAGCCCTTCATCTACAATTGACTTTCTGATCAACTTATAACTCTTTATGCACTCTTTGCCATATCCACAACTGATCATAGTCTCTGCTATGACCTTTAAGTCTGACATCACCAGAGTCGAGGCTTTTTCGACCTGAGTGATCGATTCACCAGCCT